GTCCTGTTAATGCTGGGTAAAATATCACCTTGATCTGAACTAAAAGCAAGGGGTCTACTGAACAGGAGGAGAGCATGAAGTAAGACTATCTATTCCCCCACCCAGTGATCAGTTCAGGTGGAGAGACCAGTAAGTTTTTCAAGCCGATCTACAGTACAAAGCGGTTATGCCATCATTTAAATACTTTTAAACAGGGGTTTCACATCCCAGTTTTCAGGGGCACAACAGACCATACTCCATCTGCAAGTGATGGGTCTACCCAAACGTCACCACTTCAGTCCCGCTGCTTCGCTATGATGCAGGCACTGTAACACTCGGGAGATGGTCCTAGCGAGAAGCTTCCCCCATCAGGAGTGACGCTGTTTTCCTATTGTTGTAAAAACTGTTGTCAGGGATCAACCCTACCCGCAGCTTTAAGATTTCACAGTGATACAAACACCTCCATCGCTCAGCCACCCCGGCCTCATGAGTGGCATTCACTTTCGGGCGGACCAGAAGTGTACATTACAAAAGGGGTCAGTTCTCATTCTGAAGAGCGTTACAGTAGCTCTGTATTGATGTCTATCCTCAAATGCATCAGCACTACAAACTGCTGTACATTGGCGCTGGATGCATCGTTACAGTGGCGTACGGTAAAAAAAGTGGGTAAATAACCTAAACTAAACTCCATATTCCCCAAACGAGAAGGGGGGTAAAGTCCATTTACTCGTGACTACGCCAGCGGTCACACGTCAGTTTTGCCAACCCAGATGTCATCTGCCTCCGCTGAAAGTTGGAGGGGGGGGGACCCCACTGCTTAAAGCTCTCACTAGAGAAACTCAGGCTGACAGGTGCAACAGCCATGTTCTGTGGTGGCTTCCCACACTCAGCTTTCACACAAGCAGAGGGTCTCGCTGGGCCCCTTTTGCAGTAAGTGGCATTCTCCCGGGGCGGGGGGGGGGGGAGAAATCTTGATTTGTCATTGGCTACGTTGCCAGTAGGGCTCAGGAAGCTAGCAGGGCACATGATATAAAATCTCGCCCTCCAGGGCATGTCACAGCCTGCATGAATTAGTACAGCCAGACTAGACCTCGGACACTATTACTTGTGCACGCTGTCATGGGAGCAGGCACTAACTGTGGCCAGACCCCTCCATGACTGGCAAGACACTGCTTAAAATTACCACTCCACCAATGAGACTATACCGCTGAACTGTATTTTTTTTTTTTTTATAGCTTACACCTGCCAAGTGCCACTCCTCTCTCTCACTCTGCCCTTCTGCAGCCTGACTCTGAAAGCTGTTGGGTCAAACTCTTCACAGCAGCTTTTCTTTATTCTACCTTTCCCTGCAAAACATGGATACACCTTGGTCCAAAGGGCCCTATACAGACTGTAGCATGGAAGGCCACTGCTCCCCAGAGGTGAAGTACCAGTTTCCATGGCTTCAGACCTCTGCCAACTTTCCATTCACACAGGGCCAGATCAAAGGGAATTCGCTTCTGAAATGTCACAAGCTTGAAGGGCTTTTTTTTGGCATTAGCCCAGATTCCAGTCACTGTCTATTCTCCAGCAAGAGAATAAAAACCATGATGTACCAGCAGTTCGGCCTGGTACGTTCTGACACTGAAGTTAGTCGGGCACCCTATAAATGAGAGGAGGTTCTGAAAGTCTCTGAAAAGCAGCTGCAGCACATGCAGATCTCTGCACAGCCCTCTCACTGGGTGAGGAGCTGGCCACCCTGCCAAGCACATCTCGAGTTCAAAGGGCATCCACAGAAGAACTCGAAAGCTGCCATTAAAATATTATGGAGCGACACGCTCCAAGTGGGGGCATTGTGCCAGTCTGGAGATCAGACACTGCTGGGCATGCGCTGAGCCTAACAAGAGGACTCGAACACAAGCATCGAGACTATATTTGTGAAAAGTTCCCCCTCCCCCGTCTTCCACTGCATGATGTCTGGGGGCCACAGGTAACAAACGCAGGGTTACCCCACCACCCCACTCCGCAGCCAGACTCAGAAATATAGGGGAATCTAAGCGGCAATCACGACCCATAACATCATTTTAATAAATCTTAGTGTACACGTTATCTTTACACATTCCCCAAACTGGGTAAGAATGCACGAGTGATTTGATCTACTCTGAGATCGGCTACCGAGTCAATGTAAGGGTCTGTTTGTATTTACATGATTGATGGAACAACTCCAAAGGAGTCATGAATCTCTCAAGTCAAGTGTCCATATTGTATTAAATGCAGGTTCATTTTTAAGTGCTACTGTAGAAACAATTCAGGAGAGTCTGTCAAAACTATAAGGGCCAGATTTTTGATTTGCATATGTAAATTAGGGCACTTATGGACACATTGCCTTAGAAATTAGACCTGAAACTGGCTGCTCAAATGCCTACCAGGCAACTCACACCCACAGACACCTATTAGCCTGCACAATTGCACCTGCACTAGCCAGTGCTCCTTTTTGCTTGTGCATTTGCACAGGTGCAGCTCTGAGCGTCTGGTGTGAAGGACAAAAAGGAAATTCAGAGCTAAGGTTGAGAAGCTGGTTTTAGCCTGTGCCCACGCCCCAATGACCAGAGAAATAAACACCTTGCCAGCATTCCACAGCCTTAGCAATGGTGTGAGACCAAAGCTAATTCTCCCTCCTGATGGGGTAGAAAGAGGCACAGCCCCTCATCCACATGTAAAGAGCTACATTGGCTAAGCTATACAAACGAGGCAGGCTCAAATGAATGCTACTAACATTCCAGAGGCCCTCTCACTCTGATGTATACCTCGGTATGGTGCATGCTAGGGCCGATTGGGTAGGAAGGGAAGGAGAAGTGCCCAGAACTGCTTTCTGATCCACACAGATTCATGCAACTTGATATGATAGGGATTAGTCCCATGAGTGACACAACCTGCTGCTCTGAGCCACTGAGGGACACCACTGTTCACATGCAGCTCAGGAAGGGAATGACGGGAAGGCTGAAGTCGGAGCAGCAGCAACAAAACTGCAACAGGAGGAAATAAGTTTCCTGTTATCAGTGAAATCAGCCAAGAAGTGAGTCTTTCCCACGAAAGCAGCACAAAATCATCCCACTCCACTGTCAAAGGTGGAAAGGGGGAGAACCCGCGAGACAAGGAGTCGTCCCACCAATGGAGGCGCCCTGATGGGGGTTGAAAGACGCAATCTTTAACAGTCTTCCTCCTCCCCAAAAGGGATTGGGACAAAGGACGCAGATTTCACTTGGAGTCAAGCCTTTCCTTATACCCCCCTCCCCTACAATCTACCCCCAAAAGAAGCTGTTGGGGAGATCGCTTCTCTAATAGCTGACAAGTGATAAATAGCAGGAGAGATGTTAGAAAGGCACAGAGTTATCCATCAGCTGCCTCGTGGCTGCGGTTCTTCCAGCCCCTGATCCCAGGCTCAGGGCAAAGAGATGGAGGAAACTGGAAAAGGAAGGCAGTTCTCTTGATATGTTTCACCTCGACTCCTTCTTCGTTCAGTTGGGGATTCCAGGGTCTCTTCCTACCCAAGACTAATGAGAACAAAAGTGTCTGGAAAACTTGTGCGGTGGATAAGAGATATAGAGCTCGAACCATAATCCTTCTGCTGCACAGTTACCTACTGCCTGACCTACAGTCACCTACCGGGTCTCTGAGGCTCCTTTGCTTTTGAAGCAGAACACTGCCAGGGAGGAGATGGCGGTTGCAATTCTGGACTCCTTCCCATCTACCTGCACCTTCCAGTAGAGCTCAGATAGCTATGTTAAGAGTAGCTATGGGAAATTAAGAGCAAAAGCTTTCTGAGATGGTGTCACTAGAAGAGAAATCTGTGTTAGGTAGGGGAAAGAATACAAGAACACTGCAGTACAGGAACAGGGGAAGCCATCAGAGACAGAAGTCTACAGGGGCACTGAAAAATAAACAAAACGTTCCCCGGGGAAGTGTCAGAAAAGCTGCTGAGAGGCATCAGAATGAACCACAGCACCATGGAATTCCTAACTGCTTCATTTACGCTGCACAGGGGGAAATACCAGATCACAGGCACTGGCCTAGCCAGAAATTACATTTCACAGCGGCTGCCATCCAGCAAGCGTGCGGAGGTGAAGGTCAGAAGTTCACCATATTTAGAGGATTTTTAGTTCTTTAAAAGGAGAACTTTAAAAAAGTCTTTAAAAAGATCCACTTAAAATGAGCTAAAACTGCATAAGAGTCTCCTCCAATCTGAACTGGTTTTGTCTGGAGTTCCATACTGGGGCCCTATAAAGGGAGCCATGATTCCCCCTTGGCTTCTAGTCAGATTCGGACTAGAGTCCAAGAAGGTCATGGGAGCAGCGAGCTTTGGGAGACAGCACGAGGGTACCTGTGGAGCTGTTTGCAGTGGAAATCCCCTCTTACTGTTGAATCCCACTTTGCTTCCCAAACCAAGGGCAGAGCTACCTCGGGTCTGTTTTTCCATCAAGGCTGCATTATGAGGAAGGGCCCTGGAGGGGGGCAAAACACACATTATTAGTCACTTTTGAGCCACGCAATAAATTGGCAGCAAATTTGCAGGTGAGGGTGTTGGGTTTTTGGGGGTGATCAAGTCTTCAAATTATTAGATTGGGCCGGTTGCAGGAAAGATTGAACATGACACTTCACTGAAGGATTTGCCTTCTGTAGGGATGCGCCTATGGCTAGAGCAGAGAGCATGTATATATTATATCTGCCATGTCGATTATTTACATGTTCCTCAACGTTGGCTTCTAAGAAATTTTGCTCTGATACATTCTTTTAAAAATGCGAGCATGCTCATTTCCCTCCTGTGTAGGTTCCCTCCCACTATGCAGAGCTGTGTCGCAGACTATATAGAAAGTACTGCCAGGGAGCAGTGTGGGGATTCTGTTTATATTCTAACAGGGATGTGTAGATTTTGGCAAAAAGGCCTTATTGAAAAGTGCATGCTTTTGTTCAGAGGTACCAGAGGCCGGGGTTCTGTCCTTGGCAGGAGAGAGCAGAAGCCTTCTTTACAATCCCTCCTCTGTCCACCAGGGGCCGCCTGTCAAGTAGTCATCGACTGAATGTTTTTGAGCATTTCATCGAAGGCCTCTCGGGACGGCGCCTCGGCGTTCTGGAAAGAGACCTTGATCCGGCTGTAGAGGCTGAAGGATTTCAGCTCCAGCCAGATGAACCCGAAACGATCGTCATCGAAGAGAATGAAGATGCCCGGCGTTCGTTCAGGGCTGGTGAAGCCATGTCCAGCAATGAGCCCCGTGCCATAAAAACTACAGAGAGGGAAAGAAGCAGGGAAAAAAACAACATGAAAAAGCCTCTGGCTGCACCATTGTGGCAGCTTAAGATGAATTTACTGTATCAGAGCAAACCTGAGGTCCATCTAGACCAGCCACCAGTGGCTAGGATCTGATGGTTCAGAGGAAAATCAAACGACCCCAGAAAGCACCTGAGTAGATAGGCCATGCTGCACAAAGGGGGGAGTTTTACCTGCTGACTTTGAAGCAATCAATCAGCTCGCGCCCCGCAGCGTGAAGTGCGATTGCCTCCATCTTCACAAGCATGAGAACAATGCTACAAACACGCACCTGCTCCTTTAAGTGCAGCTACAGTATCTGATTACGCTAAGGATCGGTACATGGGAGCTAACCTAACATCCCTGCACACGAGGATTTAACTTCCGTTTCAAGGATCAAACCAGACTATACAAAGGCTGATCGGCCTGGGACATGAGACCCGTGTAACCAGGCCACATCCTGGCTGTGGAGGAAAGGTGGGTAAAGTTCAGTGCAAAGCCCTTAGCACGCAGTGGGAAGGGCACATCTGAACAGTGTGTTGCTTCTAGTTTGGAATTGGGCCTTTGTGGATTCCTGGAATGACCCGCTGCGATAGTTAGCACAGATGTTTGGCTGAGGGTCGTTTCTGTTTAGATCCAGACTCTTCCCACCAGCCCTTTATTTAGCAAGGTGCCTCACTGAAGACAGCACCCCCACGATCTGAAAAGAAAGGGCTCAATCATGCTGCAAGGTGCTCTGCATCCCCACAGCTCCCATTCATTGAGGGTGCTGAGCACCTTGCAGGATTGGGCCCAAAGCGCACAAGCCCTGAAGCTGGGTCAGCGGGAAAGGGCAGCACATTCCCATGGTCTCGGGAGACAAGTGTGATGCACGGGTAGGACCCAGCTAGGGAGGATCCTGAGAAACAGGGAGAAAAGGAGCAAGTGGCTCATGGAGAAACAGAGCAATAAAGGGAAAATACAGGAGGGATTATGCCCCAAGGCACGATTGGGGCAGGATCTGCAGGGGAGGTGAGATAGGGACACAAGCCCCCCCACCGCTCGCTATCTGCCAGGAGATAAAAGGAGCAAAGGAGATTGCACTAGATGGAGCCGTAGAGGACACAGTACTGATAAGAGATGGTAAGCTCAGACTGAGCGCTGGGGCAGGGGGGTGAAGATCACAACACATGCTTTGGGTGTCAGTGCAGAAAGGCTCTGGGGGGTTTTCACCCCTATATTTTCCCCTTGGGTTCAGGTTGGATGTCCCGTCTGGGCAGGGGCGATGAGGGAGCAGTGCTAATAACGGGGCCTCTTTCCCGAGCAGGTCTCAGCTGCTTGCGTGGGGCAGGGCGCGTAGGAAAGGCTGATTAACCACATTCATTTACCACATCCGGCAGGTCCGGGGATAATCCTCGTTCCTTGATATGACTCCCACGGGCAGCACGAAAGGCTGTGAGGTTGGCGCCGACTCCTGGGCTGCTGCTGCCCCCGCCGCCTCAGTCCCCTCAGCCCCAGCATCGTCCTTCTGCGCAGGCTGCTCTGCTTGCTGCGAGTCACCCTGTCGGGAGCGGCCCTCCTCTTCGTCCTGCCCTTCCTCCTCCTCCTCCTGCTGCTCCCGGCGCACCTGCTCCTGCACCTCCAGGACGATGCGGGAGAGCTCATTGAAGTTGCGCAGGTTCTCGATGTCAGGGAGCTGGATGGGGTGCGCCAGGTCGATCTCCACCGTCTGCTGGCCAGCTGGGATATTGGGATCTCCCTGCAGCAAGGAACAGAAACCATGCTTCAGGACACTGCGGAACAGAGCTCATGCCAAAAGCTCAGACATCTGTACCGCTGCAGCTGGCTAACAAGTTTCCTCCACCCTGGCAATGCCCAGTTCCACAACAGCACCCCCCCGCTTGTCAATTAAAAGGTCCCACCCAAATCCCAGCAGCACAAGCCCCTGGAGCTGCCTGCATCACCCCCTTGCACCTGGGATACGCCACCAAGGCCCAACCAGTATGTGGAGACTTGTTCAGAACAGATGGGACAAACTGAGTGGCTGGTGACGTGGCAGGGTAGCCCTGCAAAGTTGAAGGGGATAGTCAATTTCAGAATGGCTTTCAATCACGACCACTCCCTGCAGGGGGAAGGAAGGAGAGTTTATCAGCCTGGTCTCAGTGCATGGCTGCTAGTGTTTGGGAGGGCGGGGGGGGGAAATGAGAATCTCAAATACAGGTAACCTGCTCATAACCAGATGTTCCCACAGAATGGACTGGGGGTGGGGGGAAGATAGTCTGGATTGAAAAGCATTTCACAGGCCAGCAGAAGCTCTGCACGGTAGGATTTCGCTGCTGTGCAGGCAGAAGACAAGACAGATCGTAGCTCAGCATTCTGGAAAATCCTGGCACTGGACTATTTGCCTAGATGGCATTTCCCCAAAGGCTGAGAACAGCCAGGCTAACGAGTGTCCTCACCCCAGGAAATTGTACGTGCTCCTACAGAACAATGAATTTGTTCCCACCAATCCCCCAGGTAAGTTGGCTCTGCTGTGACAAAGTTATTATACCCTTCTCTAAGTTACTTATCTGACCCCAATCACCATAGTGTCTGAGCGCCTTATTCTCACAGCATCCCAGTGCTATTATCCCCATTTTACAGATAGGAAACTGAGGAACAAGTCAGTGTAATACCCAGGCCCCTAAACCCCAGCAAAATCAATGGAAGCTAGGAGCCCAAATACCTTTGAGAATCTGGGCCTTAGCGACTTGCCCAAGGTCACACAGGCCGTCTGGCTGAGCAGGTAATGGAACCAGGTCTCCCAGATCCTAGGCTTGTGCCCTAACCACTGCATCCTCCTTTCCCTACCCCCGGCGATCACCTCTCACACAGATCCCCGACGCAAGGGAGAGCGAGAAGGGCTGCAGTTTACTACCCTGATTCCACGGCAGCTGGAACCTGTCGGGGAGCTCGGGAGAGAGAAAAAACCACTCACGGTTATTTTAGTCCCTTTGGCTTTCTTCCCATGAAAACTCAGCATGACAATCTCCAAGCCGTGGCTCCCGTAAGTTCCCTTGAAGAGACCTGGCTTTAAGAGGTCGTCAGGGCTGCTAGGAGGGAGGTAGATGCGTCGGTACGTCAAGCAGTTGCTGTGGAACAGAAACTGGTCAGGCAGTTTACAAGAGAACAACGCGATATTGATTCTTCGCCAAGAACTTAGGCTGCCCTCCACTCCCCTTGCCGGCCTTGGATCTTCTAAAGAGATTCTTTAACAAAAGGGGCAAGATCGTCACTTTCTGGCATTTTAAAAAGCACTCCAAATGTTGTATAGCACACCTCCCCCTACCCCACCTCTCCCAACCCCCCTTTACCACCTCCAAAGAGTCCGTTTGGCTAAGAGATCTGTCAAATCGGCAAAGGCTGCACTTGTACCTAAGCTACAGCATGTCCACCCACCCCTATTTCCGGCGGCACTGGAGAACCCAAGATGAGTGGAGCCTATTTAAAGATCTGTTAAAGCAATTAACTTCTGATAGCTCTGAAAATGACATTTACTGCTAGTTGGTACGTTCCCAGAAGCTGGGACTGTGTAATTTGTATAGTGCGGTATAAAGCATATTTCCTGCTAAAAAATATAATCAGCAGATGGCCTGTAGGGATGGTTGATATTCACACCATTTTAAAATTCAGTAAGATACATTTATTCATGTCTGAACATTGGTGACATCAGAGCAGACCTTTTGGAAGCCTTCTCAAACCATTGCTAGCTTTGAACACTCAGCAGCTGTTGCACATCCTCTTTATCTCCTCGCTGGTTGTCCCCTATGACGACGACCCATCATCATTCCTTCCATAATCATTTTTTCAGGGTTATTTTAATCTCCATGCCTGACGTAACCCAAGTACACAAGTTTGCGCCTGTTGATTTCCAAGAGGAGGGGCGGCTTCTCGCCAATAGTATTTCTAGAACAAACATTTGTTTTCTCCATCCAGAAGATATGCAAGAGTCTTCGCCAGAACCATATCTCAAAAGCTTCCGTTTTCTTTTTGTCAGCAACGTTAGTTTCCCACGATTCACATCCCTAGGTCGCTATTGAGAAAATTAAGCTTTTCACCAGTTAAACCTTCGTATATTGAGACACCATGGTTTTTCCAAACTTTTGTAAGGGAGGCCATTGCTGATGAGCTGTTCCTCGTTGTCTTCTGATTTCTTTGGAACAGCCTTCTTGATTGGATATGTGTGATCCCAGATATGTATATAGATGAATTCATCGAGTGCCTCTACAACTTGACTTAATCGTGCTGTCCTCGTGCATTCCATTTTTGTCAATCATGTCGATGTGCATGCATTTCCTTTTCACCTCATTCAGGGATAGTCTATATTAAAAACAGACTCCAACATTCCTTGCATTCCCTCAGTGGTTGTAGCAAAGAGCACTGTGTCATCACCTCAGTGGGAGATTATACTTCCTGCACTTTTCAATGATGCGACAGATGTTCACGATTTGATCATGCGTGCCTCATCCCTCTCTGAAACCATCCTGTTGTGATGGAAGTTCTGCTTTTATTCTTTGCTTTGTGCAATCCTGGATTATCTAGAGCAAAACTTGGCTTGTGTAGGATAACAAGATGATACTATTCTTATTACGCTGTTATGTAATCTTTCTTTGGTAAGGGCAGAAAGATTGATTCCCTTTGTCCAGCTGTCCGGCCAATTTCTAGTCATCCACACAGCATTGCAAATTTATCACGAGATCAATACCGAGCACTCTGTCAGGCTTTCCATGGAAAGGATCCAGTATCTCTGTTTACAAGCTCCCTGTGATCTGTACAAGTCTGGTTCATAATAATTTTCTTAAATTTATCAACAAACTCAAAGTGTCTTAACTTTCTAAAAGAAAAAAAAATAAAGAAAAAAAATACAACCCCCCGCAGTCACCAATCACTTCAACAGTTCTGCTGGTATGCTATCTACCACGGGAGCTTTCCCTGGCTTCACTTTCACATTAGCATGCATAATTTGTTCTTCCAGGATCGATGGCTCCACCTCTATACTCCTTTCTGTTGTCCTGTATTACGAGTGGCTCTGAGGAGGGATACAGATTGGCACAATAATCTCTTCACTGGCATTTGATAACATCACCTTCAGTGAGGGTTCCACCATCATGATCTCTTATTGGGTCTGATGACAGGGAAAATTTTTTGGTAAGTCTAACCACCGTAAACATCTCTTTTGTATTCCTCTTTGTGACTCTCAACCTCTGTGCATTTTGCTCTTCTGTATTTGCTCTTGTCTCATCTAACCTGCTTTTGGAGGCATCTGCTCAGTTCTTTGTACTTGCACCTTCATTTTTCAGTCTCTAAGCCAGGGGTAGGCAACCCATAGCATGCGTGCCAAAGGCGGCACGCAAGCTGATTTTCAGTGGCACTCACACTGCTCGAGTCCTGGCAACTGGTCCAGGGGGCTCTGCATTTTAATTTAATTTTAAATTAAACTTCTTAAACATTTTAAAAACCTTATTTACTTTACACACAACAACAATTTAGTTATATATTATAGACTTATAGAAAGAGACCTTCTAAAAATGTTAAAATGTATTACTGGCACGCGAAACCTTAAATTAGAGTGAATAGATGAAGTCTCGGCACACCACTTCTGAAAGGTTGCCGACTCCTGCTCTAAGCCATTCTTTTTCACTCTACATTGTTATTCTGCCAGCTCAAACATCATCTCAGTCAGCCATGCTACGATCCAATGCTGATTTTTCAGAATATGTGCTTTGGCAACTTTGAGCATGAGTTTTCATTTTATTCCAAAGTGCGTTTGGGGTGTTCTCTTTCTCCTGTGCCAATGCCACAAACCTGTTCTAGACAGAAGTCCCGTAGTTTTCGTTGATTTTGGACAGATCCAAACGTAGTGGATCTGCCAAACGTCTGATCTTTCAAGTTTTCATTTTATGATTGAAGCTAACAACTGACTGCCTGACCCACATGGTCTGCACTCGGGAAAGTCTTTATCCATTAGACCGTGACGCTTCCCAGGGGTTTCCAGGGCTGAGGCACCTTGCTACCACCTGCCCTTGTCTGTGCCTGCTGTGGGTCAGTTCCAACACCATCAGCCTCAGACAACACAAGCACTGCCCTCCAGCCCTCCATAGGCACTACCCTCTCTTCACAGGTCAACGAGAGACATCCACCAACCGTGAGTCCCCCAGGCATCTCCGTGTAGTGCCCCACCCTTGATGCACTGGACACTTACAGAATTCTCAGATCCTCTGTTCCCAAAAGGAACAGGACACCTCAGCTTACCAGATACACTGCAGAACTCAGCTCTGCTTCGCACATAGCACTTAGATTTGTTGGTAGCGAAAGCAAGTTTAACAAAGAACAGAGATTCAAATGTACCGGAAACAAAGGGTTACGTATAAAATACAATCATAACTTGCATACTAGAGCCTAAACTTAACTCACAAGATGCCCTGCTGTCTAACTGTGACCCTAAAGAATTGGGTTTGTTTAGTTTGGAAAAGAGAAGACTGAGAGGGGACATGATAGCAGTTTTCAGGTATCTAAAAGGGAGTCATAAGGAGGAGGGAGAAAACTTGTTCACCTTAGCCTCTGAGGATAGAACAAGAAGCAATGGGCTTAAACTGCAGCAAGGGAGGTCTAGGTTGGACATTAGGAAAAAGTTCCTAACTGTCAGGGTGGTTAAACACTGGAATAAATTGCCTAGGGAGGTTGTGGAATCTCCATCTCTGGAGATATTTAAGAGTAGGTTAGATAAATGTCTATCAGGGATGGTCTAGACAGTATTTGGTCCTGCCATGCGGGCAGGGTACTGGACTCTATGACCTCTCGAGGTCCCTTCCAGTCCTAGAATCTATGAATCTAAGAGCCACTGGCAGAGGGCCCATTGTAGTGCAACTCATATCAGGCCTGACACACTCATTACCCTCAACACATTGAAGTCATAACCAGGGCCGGCTCTGGCTTTTTTGCCGCCCCAGGCAAAAAAGCTTCCCGCCGCCCCCTGCTGGGGAGTGCGGCAGGGGAGGGCGCCGAGCCCAGCCACGGCCCAGCTCTCCCTGGCCGGCCGGAGCGCCGGGAGGAGGGCGGAGAGCCCGGCCGCGGGCCCGCTCTCCCCGGCAGCAGGAGCACCGGGGGGAGGGCGGCCCCGCTCTCCCAGGCCGGCCGGAGTGCCGGGGGAGGGCGGCGAGCCCGCTGCGGCTCTGCTCTCCCCGACGGCAGGAGTGCCGGGGGAGGGCGGCGAGCCCGCTGCGGCTCCGCTCTCCCCGGCGGCTGGAGCGCCGCGGGGAGGGTGGAGAGCCCAGTTGCGGCCCGCTCTCGGGCCTGAGTGCCGCCCCCCTCCAGGTGCCGCCCCAAGCACATGCTTGGTAGGCTGGTGCCTGGAGCCGGCCCTGGTTGTAACGTGTCTAAAAGGTGTCATGTAAGATACCACACATACACTGGTGACACGCTGGTCACAGAAAGCTTTGTGTCATGCATGTATGGGTAGTGCATGAAGAGTAATGTGAGAGAGCTGGAAATAGGTTCTTAAAATGCCTTTGGGAGGCAGTGCATACATGGAGCCTATCTAGACAAAGGAATGTGGATTCTCCTGTCTGACTGGAGGCAAAGGACAATGGAAGTTTCTTTACATATACGGTAAACAAAGCCAACAAGCGGCAGTTTAATAAGAACACCAGGGGACAAAGTCTGCACCCCAGGACAACTTCCTGGCTCTTGAGGCACAGACAATGGACTTTGGGTAATATAAAGGGAGCAATTAGACATTTGAGTTCTCTATCACTTGGGGAACAGCACCATTTTATTCTGTGAACATTGGTTCCCCTGTCCTGGAGGGCTGGAGATGCAGGTAACTTGATGTGAGTAAGAAAACTGCTTAGGCCAAGACTGAAACTTGCTAGAATTAAGCTTTAGTCACTAGAAAGCGTGCTTTATTTTGTTTTGTCTGTAACCATACCTCTCTTTTGCTCTTGCTTAGTATCACTTAAATCTCTGTCCTTTGTTAATAAACTTATTCTTGTTTTATTACAAAACCATCTCAGTGCTGTGTATTAAAGCGAAGTGTGAATCTTCAGGCGAACCTAACAGGCTGATGTGTGCTCTCTCTCTTTGGAAGCAACAAATCTAATAATTGCCATGTGTCCAGTGAGAGGGTCTGGACACTGCAGAGACACATCTCTGGGGGAACTCAGATTGTTACCTGCAAGGCAAGCAGCATCTTGAAGAGTTTGCTGGCAAGGCAGACAGGCTGGTGTGTCAGGGAGCCGATACAGCTTAGTGGCAGAAAGCTCTCACTTGCTGAGGCAGAGGGGTAACAAGTGGTTCACAGTCCTGGATGAAATCTCTCTTACCCAAATTCTCCTGGCTGTGATCCTTTTTTAATGAAACAACTTACCTTCTAGGTGAAAGATGCAGATTGAGTCTCTTTAGCTGCAGTTATAGTCCAAAAAATCCATTGTATTCACTTGCAAACAGGATAAACCTGTTTGTGTTTTCCTGTTTGTAATTTCCCCTGGAGACTTTGCAATCACTTGATTAGCATTTTGCTCAGAGCGTAAATATCCCCTGTAAATACTTCACAATGAAGTATACAATACTCAATGTACATGTAGACAGACTGACAGATAAACTTCTGCCTGAAAGAAACTTGTTTACCACTTCTGGGGCTGGCCCCAACTCACAGACCTTATAAAGCTGATTTCCAGCGTATGTGTACACACACCCCTTACATATTATCTGTACATACATTTCACAATGACAATGATGACCAGTGTGACACAGGCTTTCAGTAGAGACCTTACACAACACTGTGGCGAACTAGTACATAGATCCCAGACCCAGGGGATCTCTGGAAGCCTTATGCACCCAGTGTCCTCTGGTAGTCAGCACCAAGAGTTCCCTGACACAGACACTCAATCCCCTTCATTGCTGCATCGTTACCTAGTCAATTTGGTTGCTGGCCATACCGTCAGGTGACATCCATGTGCATAAGCATCTAGTGTGTTGGGTGAAGATGGTGTTTGTAAGGACCAGCTGATTACAGCAGCAGAATTCAACTAAACCCCTTCCTCTCTCCTTTTGTAAACCCAGACCATTGTTTCTCACTACTACTTTATGAGAGCTTACAGCTCCAACTTTCACATTCAGGTCCCCGATCACAAGGGACATCTCTTTGCTTGGTGTTTTAATGAGTGTCTTTCAAAGCCGTTCACAGAATCCTGCGCTGGGGACTACCTTGCTGTGGTGGGAAGGCTTGTACAATTTGAAGGTTACACAAAATCAAATGACCCAAAGCCATCTACTGGGCACACAGCTATTCCGAGTAACCGTATGGCCTATCACTGTGTTCCCCTGCTGCATCTTACCTTTCACTACGCTTACAGGAAGGGATTGTCTTACCACGTGTTTGTACACTGCTCAGTGAAACAGGGCCCAATCCAAATTAAGGTCCTGGGGCACTATCATAATCCTGGTAATGGACCTGATGAGGACCATTACATATGTTCATTTTCTGTGCAGAAAATACCACCCTCTCTACAAACACAGCAGAGGCCCCTAAAACAGGAATCTGTGGAAGGAAAAAGATCCATTCACTTGTGTTGCAGCAAGGTTATCAGCTAACCAGGAAGACTGAACCAACAAAACAGCGGTGTACTGGGCCAAGTTCAGATGCCCCTAACCCCAACGTTTAGGAAAGAGCTGGTCCCCTTACTCGTATTGGCTGGTGTAGATGAACTTCATCAAGATGAGCTCTTGCATGTGCTCATGGAAGATATCCTCCAGAGTCCGGCCCCATTCTTCCCTCAGCCACGTCCGGAATTCCTGCAGTGCACACAGAGGAGATACACGTAAAACCAACGAGCCACTCACAGACACTTTATAATTATGATGGTGCCTTAGCTGCACAGCTTCACTCTTGGCCATGCAACAGAATTCACGTAGACAGTGAGCAAGGGAAAAGCACATGTGCCCAGCTAGTTACAGAAACAAAAATACCTATTACTTTATACAGCCCTTCCCATCCCCTGCCCTCACGGCCCTTCATGAAAGGGGAGCAGGACCACTACCCCCATGTTAATGACAAAGAAACTAGGGCACAGAGTGGAAGCGACTTGTCAGACTGGGAATGGGACCCAAGTCCTTGTTGTCTCGGTCCTGCACCCCATCTCCTGGATCATGCTACATGGCGTATTGATCATCAGAAAGGAGGAAGAGTCAAAAACACTAAAAGATTGAGGAAAATAAATTCCATTGACTTGTAATATTTGTGCTCCTAAATCCTTCATGTGCTCTGAGAAACCTCCCGAAAGTGTCTCAACAGCAGCTCTGAGCAATCCCTGAAAAGCTACTACTCTAAGGTGAGTTACAATTTCATGACAACAGCATCCCCACTAAAGATATCTGCCTCTCAAATGATCTTCTGAACCTGCATTCTTTACCTTCTAAATACAGAACCTCCCGTTACCACACTCTCTCTCACACTTACCCAACACACTGTTTCCAAAGGACTGTGCACACATTATTCATCTGCTACGGAACTGACCAAAAACTTACCTCAACAATAGATCAGCCCTCTACCGGGAAACCCCTGGGGTAAAGGGTTGATTTTTTAGCTTCACAGATGGAACAGTTTGAAGTATGAAAACTCAGAGTCAGATTTTAACTAGATGGACTCCCTAACTGAACTTCTCAGAAATGAGCATCCCTACACCCTTGGGGCGACCCTAAACATCTGACTGCCAGAAGCCATGAGTGAGAGACGGGGTGGATCACTCTGTAACTGTCCTCCCCCCGTACACTCCCCGTGGAGCTCTGGTACGGTCACACTGCTGCAGCCAAATGCCCTTAATATCAGGCTCTGGAACACGGTACAGCAGTGAACAGAGAAACTCTCTCATGATACATCTGCTTTTTCCTCTTGACAGGCAGAGCTGCTGTATTTAATTCTATTACTCCTGCACTGCTAACTAAGGTTTTAATCCCTCGTCTCAGCAGACAGGCAGTAAAAGGAACCCCTCTTGCCATAATTACAAGAAAACGAGGCACGCAAGCATGGCTGATATTTAATATCGTGCCTGTTTGTGACAGGCCCAACTTCACACGGGTCTCAGCACCCTGGGAAAGCTGTGAAGAACGTGAAGGCTGCTTGCTTTATTCCAGACTTGGCTGTCAAAACGCAACCTGAGGGGTCAGACATGGCATAGGAAGAACAAGGACACAGTGACCCAAATCTTGCCACGTGCTAAGGAGTGGGGAGCTGAGGGTTGTTGTCTCGTAACCTTGGCACACAGACAGAAATGGTCCTTCACGCACTCCATTGTGTTTGGCTATTGCAGCACATATGGTGCAGCAAAGCAACCAATAATGCTCCAGTATTACAGAGGTCTCCCAACAAGGTGGTTGTAAAGTCTGAGTACTGAGCCGGTCCAGTGAACTGGAGTCTGAAGCCAGGCCTTACCCAGTGGCCGAAGAGGTTCCTTTGGATTGTGCGATGCACAACACAAATCTGCGTGTGATGATTTTCAAGGGGCAGCCCAAGGGCCAAGTGCAGCCCGTACCCGACAGTCTCCCTGCATCAGCAGGAGGAGGATAAATTTGGTCCACTACAAGTTTTACCACGGGCAAATTCAAACCACTAGTTATTTCTATCCATTAGAAAACCCTCAAGGACAGAAATTGCCACTGATCAGCCAGCTTTGTTTTTCCCAATACCTGTAAAATTATACACAAGTGGGCGCCTTAGGGGTCATATCCCAGCTCCCATCATGACCACACAGATCACAAAGATTTGGGACCTGACAGTAACGCCACACCCTGCTGTGCCTCACGTGCATTTAGATGGACATGCAAGTGACAGACTCTTTCCAGCCAGGCTGGAAGGGACGCTGTTACCTCCTGCCTTCCTCCTGACATTCGATGGTGATCTGTCTGGTTGCACTTCGTGGAGAATTCGTCCTTCTTTACGATCTGCAGTTATTGGGGAGAGTCGGTGAGCTGAAGTTAGCAGCAGGCTGATGTAACAGCGTAACAAAGGCTGCCTCAAACAGAATCCTAACACGACACGCTGGACGGCAAGGTTTACGCAGTTTGCCAGCCCCTCCTGGCTGCAATGACAAGGCAGCGGGACTCGATAGGTGACCGCTAAATATAACGGAGGCCAAGTGCTTCAGCCTCTTAATGCAGCAGCTCCATGCTCTGAGGAAAGGGAGCGAGTGGGCGTCATTCCAAAGGAGAATCCCAATGTCAAGCTGCCTTCTGCAATTGAGCCTCGTTTCAAGAAGCAGGATCTCCCTCGAGTTTGTTCCTTATACATCCCACCTACCCCATGGCTTATCCCAAGTACCCTCCCCAAGGCCCCTACAGGGGATGACTGGTCACAGTGCATACTTGGACACGTCAGTGCATGGGACCATTTTTATACACCCCTTCCCTTGACTGCCCGATGCTGGCTGATCCATCCTCACCAATGCAGGGGCACCAGCTGAAAGCAAGGCCTCAATGTGCGACCAGCCTAAAGATCAGAACTGACCAGGAGATGGCCTAAACCAGTGGCTCTCAACTTTTCCAGACTACTGTTCCCCTTTCAGGCGTCTGATTTGTCTTGCATACCCCCAAGTTTCACCTCACTTAAAAACCTCCTTGCTTACAAAATCAGTCATAAAAATGCAAAAAAAAGTCTCACAGCACACTATTGCGGACTTTCTCATTTTTACCATAGAATTAGAAATCAATTGGAATGTAAATATTGTAGTTACATTTCAGTGTATAGTATATAGAGCAGTATAAAAAAAGTCATCGTCGATCTGAAATTTTAGTTTGTGCTGACTTTGCTAGCGTTTTTTATGTAGCTTTTTGTAAGACTAGATGAGTTGAAGTATCCCCTGGGGTACGCGTACCCCCGGTTGAGAACCACTGGCCTAAACGATCCCTTGCGGTCACTAAAGGAAAGCCGATTGAGAGATGGACAGAGAAAAGCCTTGCGCGTGACCCATCACGGTAGTGATGTCACATTCTCTACCACTGGGTACTTTTGTTTACAGGCCCGTGGAATACAAACTCTTCCTCAGCGTGCGGTGCCCAGGTTAAGCAGCCAGACTCACCTGTGTGTGGGGAGGGGAGAGAGGCACAGGCTGGAGCTCACCTGGATATGGCCATTGTGGGGCCCCTTGTGGCCGTACATACACTCGACAGTCGCACTTTTCCTCTCCATTAAGTGAATCCGGAAAAGGGGCTTGAACCTCATTGGGTCATCCACGTGAGGGTCATGAGGGGGCAAGTACATCCAGCCAATGATAAACAAGCCATCTACCTGTGAAGAGGTGGGAGAAGCAAATGGAGTCAATGCTCCCCCGTCTTCATTCATTGGGCAGCAGCTGTTGCCTCAGCCCCAGAACCTCTCCAGTTAGGGAGTAAGGTGGCTCTCCCCCAAGGCACTGAGGAGCTGTTCTCAACAATCAGATGCATTTCCAGTGCTAGATAGCTGCTTTCCGGTGCCCAGATCCCAGCCCAAATAGACACAGTGCAGCCTCTGTGAGGGGGAAGAACCACCCTTTATAGGGCTTTGTTTCATGGGATAAGTGTTCACGTCTATTACTGCAAGCAGCTTGGTGCCAGATACGCATTGGGCTCTGGAGAGCGAGATTATGCTGAGGCTAGTCAAGCGCTAATTGGTTTGTGACGAGCTCATGCTGCCAGTGATTCTCTTACAGGGAGGACTTCTAGTCTCCATAATTATGTCTGGCTTTTGGATGATGAATTGTTGTGCGCTATTACTCACTGCCAGTAAGGAAAGCAATGATCCCCTTCACTTGCTAAGACGCGTGAAAGAGCCAGCCTTTCTTCCCCCCTCTCTTCCTGCAAACCTCATCGAATCCTCACCCCACAAAGGGAAAGCGGCTTTGAAGAGCAAGTATTCTGTAATGGAGATTTCTCCCGAAGACATAAGGAGAGATCGGCACTGCGGTCTCTCTTCACAAGCTAGCCGTAGTGAACAACTAAACCGGTGGAACTCCTTGCCAGGGAATGTTGTGATGGCAAAAAACCATAACTGGGTTCAAAAAAAAGAACCAGATAAGTTCATGGAGGATTGGTCCATTGAGGACTATTAGCCAAGATGGTCAGGGATGCAACCCCATGCTTGGGGCGACCCTAAACATCTGACTGCCAGAAGCCATGAGTGAGAGACGGGGTGGATCACTCCGTAACTGCCCTCCCCCTGTACACTCCCCGTGGAGCTCTGGTACGGTCACACTGCTGCAGCCAGATGCCCTTGATATCAGGCTCTGGAACACACATTTCTACAAGAGAGACTTAGGCTCAAAGCTTAACAAATTCAATGGGTTTAGTATGTTAAGCCGGCCAACCCATGCTCCTTGGTGCAGAGGTGCCGGAGGATATCAGAGGGCATCAGGCAAGCCTCTCTCCTCTGCCTCTCAGAGTAATCCCAATAACCCTAAATCCAGAGAGGCAAAGGACATTCAGCAGCTCTTCTGCTTCTCTAGACTTGGTCTCACTGTGGTCCTAACCCAAAGCTCATTGAAGTCAGTGGCTTTGGATCAGCCCCGCTGTCAGTATCATGTCTGACGTACTGCTCTTCAGGGACTAGTCACTATGCAGGTAAACGTATCAAATACTGTGGCAACGAGGCTATGAGGCAGCCAAGTGACCTGCATATGCAGCGTCTTTACCAAACTCTTCCTAATGCAACGCAGTGAATGCCAACTTATGCCAAAAGGCAGAAACATAAAAGTTTTAAAGGAGCTTGTATGAAATTGTTGCCAGAAGCTGATGCAAACAAACCTCTGGGACATCTCTGTACTCACCACCACGTTCAGCAGTCCCCCGTACGGCCCAATGTCTGGCTGCCACAGTCCCAAGATGTGTCGGTATCGGTGCAGCACTAGGGAATAGGAGACAAAGCAAGACATTTCACAATGAACGCAGCAAGAGGGATTTGAGGGGAGATGAGGAGGCTGCCATAAAAACTACACAGATTGTTGACCGACACCCCCTCAAACAGGGTCCTTACTGGGGTTGGGAGAGAGAATCCCAGTTCTCCCAAACCCAGTGAGAGGGGCCAATTCTGAAGACTTTCAAAAAGCCGTTACATGAAGCCGACTGCAAACGCACACTATTCTCCTGCACGGCTTCACGCCCGGCCGGGAGCAGTGGCAAGAGCTAGCTTTTCAAGGATTTACGAAGGCAGAGATCCAAGGACCAACTAGCAAATAACTTTCCATCAGAAAATCCTCTCATTGAGATCTGTCGATAGGCATCACATGCTCTGCTTGGAGCCTACGAGTGCAGGCTATCCACCTCCCTGACCACAAGTAAGATGTTCTCGACACCAGAAACCTCCGATTTCATAGAGGCGTGAATGCGGGGGGGATCTGAAACTTATAAGTAGGGGAGAGCAGGGAAAGCAAACAGCGTTTGCTTTAAGAGACCATCCCCTTCTTGTCCTACCAGACAGACGCACTCCCCTGCCTCCACTTAAGCACCTGATCCTTGTCGGATTCAGCCATTAAGATGGCAGCACACATGCCCCATAGTTCCTGAGCACGGCATCCAGAAGACTGGGTGTCATTACAGATTCAACACAGACAGAGGACCTTGGAGAAATCTCAATAGGTTACTGCATTTCAACATTTCCTCAAAGCTGCTCCCAAGCATCGTGTACTGGAGCATATCTTGTACTTTGGATCCTCATCTCAGAGCTAGTTAAGATTTAAAGCCTACCGAAAAAGGGGGCAGAAGTAGGAAAGTTTTCCACAAACTGCAAACACAAGTGATTCTTTGAAAACTGATACATACAGCCTGCTGCAGACAGGAGTCATAAGGAACTATGGTATAAGGTATCCACTACATCATATGCCTGCCTTCCGTGGAGAATACAGATCTGTTCATCTCAGATTCTAAAGATAAGCAACAGCTGACCCATAATATGAGAGTATATTTAATGGCCTGACGTGAACAAAGCCCTCTCCATCGCAGGCAGTGGTGCCATCGTAGGAGTAGAGAGGTTCTTTTACCTCTGTATTTGGCACTGGTATGGCCACAGCTGGAATCCTGCATCAAGTTCTGGTGTTCACAATTGAAGGATGTTGATAAACTGGAGAGGGTTCAGAGAAGAGCCATGAGAATGATTAAGGGATTAGAAAACCTGCCTGATAGCGATAAACTCAAGGAGCTCAACCTGTGTGGCTTAACAAAGAGAAGGTTAAGGGGTGACTTGATCTGTAAGTATCTACATGGGAAACAAATATTTTATAATGGGCTCTTCAGCCTAGCAGAGGAAGGTCTAACACGATCCAATGGCTGGAAGTTGAAGCTAGACAAATTCAGACTGGCAGTTTTTAATTTACCTAGGCCAGGCTGAGCTGGAGTGAATCCTGTTACTGGAAGAGTTTAAGCCCAAAGTGGACGTGTTAAAAAGTAACTGTATAGAACTAAACAAGAATATTTTCATTATTTAAATGCCAAAGCAAAGAGCCATATCTGGGATCAAGGACACTGCCGAGGGCTGTTTAAATCCCAAACAGCCCCATGGCTAGGGAAGAACTGGAAAGTGACACAGGAGAAACGAGAAATAGGAATGATTGGCCCAATGTCACTCAGCCCATGGAGTCAAGCGCAAATAGCAAACTGCATGAAGGATACAAAGTGGATCCGATTTAAAATAGTCTAAGGGAAGTTACTATGCACATACCATTTAATACACAAGAAACCCCACTCACTGATACCTGCCTCCTCCACCCTGTTTGTGTACCCAGCTGATAAATGCCAGTGGCTTTTAAGATTAGAATTGAAAACCTGACAGCTGCTGAACGCAGGCAGCACTGAACTGGAGGAAGAAAAGCTCTTCCATTAGAACCATCTTCCGGGCTAATGCTACAAATAACAGTCTTGTCTTAATGCCAGACTTTTAAATACAAGAAAGTGCCTGTCCGAAAGAGGAGAGACTTGTACTGAACAGGGTTCATAAACTCAGTTTCTGGGTAATCAGCCAGCTACAGATTAGTTCAAGGAAGGCCATGTTTGCTTAGGGAAAGTGGCTGAGTCATAGCAACATCCAGATCAGTGAGTCTGACACAATCACCCTTGGACTTGGATTAAAATCTGTTCAGCCTTCCAACGGCAGGCCAATCTAAGCGAGCAGTCAGAGGCTTAGATGCCCTTCTCTCGCCAATAACGTGAAGAGCTTTTTAACAGCTGTTCAGAGCCAGAAAACTCCCTCATCAGCTGAATGGGAATAGACTGTTCCCAGACAGAACCTGCAACCTGAGCAGCATTGAAAGTTAACTGCAGTCTCCACACCCTCTCCCTGGAACTTTCCAACAACCCCCTTTGGAGGTAGGCAAAGTGTCTCAGGTGGAGAGCGGATGGTCTGCATGGGGGGGGGGGGGGGGGGCTTTGTATTTTTTAAAAGGAAGTCTCCAGGAAAATGCTAACCTTTGGGCTTCCTACCGTGATGGCTTCATTTCAGATTCTGAGCAGCGCTGCAATGCCTGAGCCTGTCAGCTCAGCAGGTGCATTCCCTGCAGTCAAGACCTGGTTAGTTACAGCTCTGACTCCGACAAATGAGGGAGATTAGGGATAAGCCTGCCAGCTCTCTCCCAATTCTGATGGAAGAACCATACCTCTCTCCTTTCCAATGGGCTCCCCTCCTTTCTTTGTGCCTCCGAAGAGGTGGGGGAGATAGAGATGCTCCCTAAGAAGGGGTCCCTTTGGGATATAGGCCCCTCTCCCCATCAACGGGCTCTGTGTAAGGATTTCCTTCTGGTTGTCCTGGGCCAGGGTCAGCTTTTCTGGCTCCAACGCATGCTGCCCCTGGTCAGGAGAGGTTACCTCCAGTAGGCTGATGGATGTGTCCAGTCTCAGCAGCTCATTCAGGTAGCCAACAATGGATGGCCAATTAGCATCAACTGTGGCAATGTCTGCAACAGAGGGCTTGTCCACACAGGGACACTATTGTGAAGTGAGCTGGAGTGAGAGTTTAAAGCAGGATAGCTATTCCCTCATGTAGACAAACCCAAGGATGCATCTGCTGGAAACTGACCATGACCCACCATTCACAGGACGTCAGGCAGCCATCAGATAGGAGGCCATTTGAAAAAGGGATTGTATTCAGTCAGGGAAGGGGCAGGAGGAGGTACAGTCCCCCAACTCCCTTAGGAGGGAGTTTGCTTTGGCAAGCTCCAATATCAGTGTTATCCAGCTATTATGAGATAAGAGAAATATAGAGAACGCTACTGAGTCCATCCCATGCAATTCAACCAAGCGAGATCTACGCAGCTGGGACATGCCCCAGAGAACAGCACAGCGATGCTGTTATAGCCCTGGAGATATTCTTCAGAAGGGGATGGGGACCACTTCAGATGCCATGAACGCTAACTAAATATTCTCTCATCGCCAGCATCTGGCTTCTACCACCTGGTGACTTTAAACACAAATACTAGGTCCTGGAGTTTTCTGTGAAATCTGCAATCTCCAGAGCCAGGGGAGTTGGGAATGAATGAAAGGAAGCTAAATCAATGACCCGTCACAGCTGTGTCTGCAGTTCTTTAAGGCTCACCTACAGAGGAAACCGGCATCAGACGTCGGTCATTTGGGAGGGTGGGGGAACAACCAAGAAGTTCACCATTGGAGAAACAGCCTGAAATGCAACTTCAGAGCTGCTGAAAACACACTCACTAGATCAATTATTCACTAAATCAGTAAAGCAATTCGGATTCCTGCTGGGCAGCTTGGTGTCCCCGTTTCACTTCATTCCAGGTGGAGACCTGGGCTGGTGGGTGCATGAGAGGGTCCAACTCAGACATGATGACCACAGGTTCCCGTTATGAAACAGTCACTGCTTGCCAGGCTACTTCACTCATCCTAGCTCACGCTGAAGTCGTCAGCTCCAGGGCTGCTTCAAACCCTCGTAGGCTGAAACCCAATGGCTGCCTTTAAGGCTTTAGTGCAGGTGAGTCCATAGCATCCACACCACATGTTAGCACATGCCATGAAACCGCACTCCCAAGCGCCAGTGAGTTAGTAACTCCATCCTGCATTACCCTCCTCTGCAAAATAACCATGCTATCACCCCCCCACTGATAGCAGAGGTGGCTTTAGACATACCCCCCAGGACAAAGCAAAACTGGTTTCTCTCACTCGATTTCATTCATTAGATCAAAGTCCCACCATGTTCCAGACCCAGAGCATTAGACCCTCAGGCCTTGCTATTCTTCCCTTAACCATGATAAGAGTTATGTATGCTCATGGAGAAAGGACTCTTTGTTGCGCGTAGCTGCTCCATTGGAGATGTACATCACAGGCTCTGAAATACTATGGAGACCTGCTCTCTTTAGAGCTGTTTGCAGCGCAGGGCACAGAACGGTATTCTGGCATACTGGGAAGTGTGCTAACAGAGCAGATAGTACTGGGACTCTCAAATTTTGCAACAATAAAGGCAGAATTGGTAGTTTTCCGATAGCACAAGGATGGCACTTGATTTGGATAAAGTGACATAGATCACATCATTCAGAGCAAGTCTGAGTGTGGTAAGCAGGACTCTACAATCTCTGTAGATCTATTCAGGTTCTTATACTGCATCCCTCACCATGGTATCGGAACACTCTCTCCATTGAAAGCAAAGGTGGCCATGGACTAACTAGGCTTAGCAAAATACCGGGGGGTGGGTTCGTTTTGTTTTTTTGTCTTTTTTTTACAGTTTTGACTGTTATCAATATTTTTAAGCTTCTTTTTATTTGTATCTGTTTAAATTTTCACAACCGTGCAAAATTTTGGGTTTTAAGCATTTTTCATCAAGTTAAATTTTCACAGTCACAGGAAATTATGGGGAGGGTTGGACAATCTTTATTTAATGACAACAGATGTTGAGATTCAAAAAGCTACACTGCAAGTTAACACACAAAATGTCAACATCACATGTCAAAATATACAGAGTAAATACCCTTCAGTCAAACTCTAAGAAATTCTCAAGCAGCCTTTTGTCTTACTTTGCCTATCTGTAAATTTCTATCAGCATCATTGGAAATATTTTTTCACTGGTTTGCATGCGGCTGGTAGATCATTTACTGATAAAACACCAACCTTTCCAAGCCTAACTACAGCACAGAACTTGGGGTTATGTTTGGACTGCAGGTTGCACTAGAAGGCGCCAAGGTAAAGGTGATCCCTAATGTACTGCCTGTGAGCCAACCACAGCTGATTACTACAGGGTCACTCGGTATTTTCAGGTTTCAGAGGGGTAGCCGTGTTAGTCTGTATCAGCAAAAACAACGAGGAGTCCTTGTGGCACCTTAGAGGCTAACAAATTTATCTGGGCATAAGCTTTCGTGGGCTAAAACCCACTTCATCAGATGCATGGAGTGGAAGATACAGTAGGAAGATATATATACACAGTACATGAAAAGATGGGAGTTGCCTTACCAAGTGGGGGGTCCGTTCTAACGAGACAATTCAATTAAAGTGGAAGTGGGCTATTATCAACAGGAGGAAAAATCACTTTTATAGTGGTAATCAGGGTGGCCCATTTCAAACAGTTGACAAGAAAGTGAGAGTAACAGTAGGGGGAAATTAGCATGGGGAAATTAGTATTTAGTTTCTGTAGTGACCCATCCATTCCCAATGCCTACTGTATTTTCCACTCCGTGCATCTGATGAAGTGGGTTTTAGCCCACGAAAGCTTATGCCCAAATAAATTTGTTAGTCTCTAAGGTGCCACAAGGACTCCTCGTTTTTTCAGTATTTTCACTAAGCTACATGCACCCAAGGAAACTTGAGTTTAAAGGTCCCATGAGCAGCGGGATCATGGGGCTTTCTAGCATAATTTTGATTCCTAAACAGGTTCAGATTTTCAGGGTGTACATAAGCGGAGACCCCCAGCGCTCATTCACACACCGGCAGAGTTCACATTCTATCAAGGTTACATTTCAGGATCTCTCCCTACAGAAGGAGGATAGGTTGATCAATGGCTATTAGGCAAGTTGGTCTGGGATGCAAACCCACGCTCTGAGTCCCTAAACCTCTGATTGCCAGAAGCTGGGACTGGATGACAGAGGATGGATCACTCAATTGCCCTGTTCCATTCATTCCCTCTGAAGCATTTGGCACTGGGCACTGTCCAAAGACAGGACACTGGGCTAGATAGTGTCATTGTATGACCCAGTATAGCCGTTCTTATGAAACTTCCCTTTGTTAGGATTAAATAAAAATCCTGAAGTCCAGAGTGCTTTTTATTTTATTGGGGGGAGGGAGCAAGAAGGAATTCCCCTCTGTAAATGACATGCCTCCAGCAGTGATTCCTGGGCTGCTGAAGTCCAGTGATCTCCCCCTTAGATATCAGAGAGAGGGGACTACAGTTCAGAGAAATCTATGGGAAACTTTCAGAACTGACAACACTTAGACTCAGCCAGAGGGACAAATAAAGGGGACGTCTCTGCCCACACCCAAGAAAAGGCTAACTGATAACACTCACATTCCTAGTTTTGTCTATCTAGGGAAGTGGTTCTCAGCTTGCGGACCAGTCAGCACACAGCTGTGGCCCATGTGACATCCTCAGGGCCATATAGGTAGTATTGGATGCGGCCCACAATGGTAAATAGGTTGAGAACCGTGGATCTAGAGCCTATTAGGGTCATTTCTGGAGCTGGATGGAGTTGGTCCCAAGAGCAATGCAAGCAGCTCTCCTCCTTCCCCTAATGGCAAGCTGGAATGTGTTACCTCCACAGTACACTCAAGCCCACTGCCCTGGAAAGCATTTGCTACCTGTGCCTAGTTAGTTTCCACCAGTGCCAATCCTGGATAGGATGCTCTCCTAACTCCAAGCACTTCACCAGAGGGGTGAGTACTATTATCCCTATAAAAAGAACAGGAGTACTTGTGGCACCTTAGAGACTAACAAATTTATTAGAGCATAAGCTTTTGTGGGCTACAACCCACTTCTTCGGATGCATATAGAGCACTCCTGTTCTTTTTGCGGATACAGACTAACACGGCTGCTACTCTGAAACCTGTTATTATCCCTATGTTACAACTACCTAAGGTGTCACCTTAGAGGGTCAGAACAAAGTGCATGAGAACCAAGTCATGGGAAAGCCTGGATGACAGCTCTCCTTATTCTGCCCCCGAGGTAGTTGCTCGCAGTAACTTCACACGCCATGCAGCGCCTTGTGCGTGCTCAGTGCAGAAAGCATTAACTAATGGGAGGTACGTACGGCAGGTGTAAACATCTCTGTACTCCATGTGTTCGTAGTCGGGAAGGATTTTCATAAAACGCCCCGACTTCACTCGTGGATTTATACCTGGACAGACACAGCAGGGTAAGTACCAGAGAAGTTGATTCCCCTCTGACCATCACATAACGTTAATCTGAACCAACCAGACAGGAAGGTCAAGTCCCTTGTTGACTTAAGGCGCACTTCTTCAGCCCCCAGCCCAAATCAGCCACTCAGAAGAATTCGGCACATTTTATGATTCCCTCATAAGTTATCGATGTCACCGAACAAATTCCGAGTGAAGTCTGAGCTTATCGTAGGGTAGGTCTATACTTACCTCCGGGTCCGGCGGTAAGCAATTGATCTTCTGGGATCGATCCCAGAAGTGCTCGCCGTTGACGCCGGTACTCCAGCTCGGTGAGAGGAGTACGCGGCATCGACGGGGGAGCCTGCCTGCCGCGTCTGGACCCGCGGTAAGTTCGAACTAAGGTACTTCGACTTCAGCTACGTTATTAACGTAGCTGAAGTTGCATACCTTAGTTCGAAGTGGGGGGTTAGTGTGGACCAGGCCTCAGTCTATGCAAGACAAGAGCAACCAAAGGCTTTTTGCTCTTTTCAATCTTCAATCCAGCTAATTGTTTTCAAAACACCATCTAGCATCGGTTTCGTTATGCCCTCTAAGATCTTGGGTTTGGCTTTATTCCCCATTGTCTTAGTGTAGCATGTAGAATAGAACAAACATTCATTGTTTGCACCTTCAAGCCTGAATTCTGCCAAGAGTTCCAAATAAATGTTGCTGAAACTAAAGAGTCCTGCATGACACTAGAGACCGAGGACACACCGCCGGGCAAGCCTTTCAGGAAAGCTGAGCAGGAAAGTACCAGTAGGTTTGTAAACAGAGATGTTTGTTGAATCTAAACTGATGGCAAGCCAAGGATTTCATATCCCTGCAAACCAGGGTAAGGTTCAGGAAAGGAGGAATGAGCTGACAAATGTTCTGACTCTGCAGAAGTCTGGAGAAATGCACAGGTCAGGATTCAGATGTGTGGTAAGAGATTCTTTATTTACAAATGGAATAGAGTTTATGGCATGCTTTCTACAGGGAAAACACTATGTTCTACGGTGCTAAATGCTCACCAAGGACCTATTGCAGTGGAAGGAGACTAAAGATGTTAAACATATTAAGAGGCACTTTGAAGTGTAAAGAAGCAGTGGGAAAAGTTGCAAAAACAGGACCATATCAGGTACATGATCAATAGATAATTTGTAACTATACCACCATTCTGGCTATGATGAAAGCCGCACTGCACAGCAAAGAAGGGTCTGACGTGACTGAGGTTTCCTTACAGACATTTTCAAAGCATTGCATACACTCGAGTTCCCCTGTATGGTCTCCCAGGGAGGTAAGTGGTACCATTCCCATTTTACAGATAGGGTAACTGAAGCATGGGAAGGTGAAGTTACTTGGGTCAAGGCCACACAGCAATGGTCTCAGAGCTGGGATCAGAATTCAGGATTCCGGGCTCCCAACACGAGGTTCAATGCACCAGTCCACCACCGCCTCTGACAGTCAGATAAAGCACAAGGTCCATTTGCAAGGAGCCAGACATCCTGGGGCCAGCAAAGCGCACTCAGGACTCTCACTCTGGTGACCTACGAAGACAAACGCTTTCATTTTTAACAAGCTGAGCCCTGCTTCTTGTAAAGGGCCGCGGGACCGTAGACCAACCACTGGAGCCAATGGTTTGTCACTGCTGATTTCCTAAAGATCCTGGGTTGTTCCATCCCCTGCTAGACCGATTCAGCATCAGCCTTTGGGACCCAGGAAACGCCTGGGTCCCAAGGACAGATCAATTCACTACTGCGGGGCTTGTGTCATCCAGGCTGCTGCCGAGGCTGTTGCAAGTGCTCTCCCAGCTGGTACCTGCAGCTGAACCAGCTCCTGTGATAAACAGCCAATGTAGCCTCTGACCCGTTAGCACGAGAAGCAGCTTGATCTTGCTAAGCAGGGGACTCCTATATTCAAATGCCAGTTTGGGGTCAACTAATCTGCCTGTTCTCCCCCACCCCCCGTAAAATGGGGATGAAACTCCCCTACCTCCCAGGGGGCTTGTGCTGACCAAGCAATTTGTGTTTGTAAAGCACACACATGCAAGTGGCAACATTCATCATAACGCATGGGCTGCGGCTGCTTATTTGGAGAGGTGTCCTGGAGACGAGTTGTGACGCTGTATGGAATCTGGGGGACACTCGAGGATATTATGAATATCATTATAAAAGTGTAATGAGTTAGGCCATGTAAGGTATCTGCAAAAATGTTATAATTTGCCAAATATGATCATCTCATGTACGTGTTTGTATTATGAGTTATAGATAAATACGTCTGTCTGTTTTTCAACCTTGTGCTACGCTTTGGGTGACACCCCCAGACAGTTTGGCATCAGCACTGCCTAGCCTGCTTGATGGCCCATTAAGGACCATCGGCTATACAACTGACCCATTGAGAGAAGGCAGATACACCTTATGACTCAGCAAGGCGCACAGGGACATGCCTATGGACAGAACTCTAAAGCTTTTAAGCCATGTGCTGGGCAGCTTGTGTTTGAAACAAAGAAAGCACAGGCCGCATGGCAAAAGACTATAAAGGGCAGCTGCATCTTCTCCATGTCTTCAATCGTGTTTCTTACCTCTGGAGGAACTTTGCTACAAACTGACGCTCTGAACAAAGGACTGAATGACCCATCCAAGCTGTGGATGTGTTCCAGAGGGACTTGCAAGCCAGCAAAGTCACCAATACTGCTAGGAACCTGATATATGGACTTTGAAGTCTTTAGATGTATGTGACTGTTTTACCATTTAACATCTCTCTTCTTTCTTTTTTCTTTATAATAAACCTTTAGTTTTAGACACTAAAGAATTGGCTGGCAGAGTGGCATTTTGGGTAAGATCCAAACCTATACTGACCTGGTAACATGGCTGACCCTTTGGGGTGAGAAGAACATTCTGTATATGTGACCAGAGTTATTTTAAATAACTTCTCACTGAACCGGACCTAGGTGGTGATTGGGAGCCAGAGAACTGGAATGCAATAAAGGGGGCGGTGCGATTTCTTTTTTGCTTCTTGATAACCAGTGTGGAGGATGAGAAGCACAGTTTGAGACTGGTTGGGGAGTTTAACTTCAGTGTTACCCACCAGTCTTGGGAATATCTGCTCTCCCTTTTGCAGCCTGCTCTGACCTTGGCATTTCCAGTGAGGGCTGCCCCAGGCACCACGGATCACACAAGTGTTGGCACTTCTGCATAGACCCAGGACAGTCGGGTCCCCTTTCTCCTGCATGAGGTGGTTTGGAATGTAGGGGGCAGGGTGACGAGAGTAAAGGAACAGATAACCTCCCCATCCCCCTCTGTGTGTGTCAAGTTGCAATAGGTGTTCCACAGAGAATCACTGCCCTGACCTTCCCCTAAGGGGAAGCCCAGGCACAGTAGAGTGATGGTGGACAGAAGCTGCTTACACTGGGGGAAAGGAGTGGAACATTGTTTCAGAGGACCATACAAAGATAAAGCCTGCTCTGATGAATACAAGTTACCCACTGGCCAGAAAGGGGCAAACCAAACAGTTGAGGATACTTTTAAAATCCTACTGACAGATTAAAAACTGTCCTCAGATTTGGGTGAGCGGTTACCAGTTGCTAAACACGCTAGCCACAAACTAATAGCTATTTCCAGAAACCCTCAGACTCTGTGGTTTCTTCCAATCAAAGGGGTATTGAGAGGCAACAGCGATTCTTGATATCTGTCTGGCATTAAAGCGCTGTGGTAGTCAAACTCATTACAGCTTTAGAGATGAAATCTCTGCCACGAAATACAGAGTCTGTTTCAAATGCCCAGGATAAAGATTCAGTGCAAATTCACTTTTAAAAATGGAACTAAACAAGAACAGGAGCATACAGACCTGCACTGACTTCACTACTTACGTTTGGCATAGACATCTCGACAGGACACTCCTGTGATCTCCAGTTTCCGTAAGTTCTCGCAGACACCATACTCTGCAGTGACAGACAGAAAGGGGTTAAGAGGTAATAAAATGAGTGATTGTGTGAAAAGGTTTTGGGCTGTCCACAGAGCTCCAGGTTACCTACAACTGCAGCAAGAATTTAGGCAGCTTTAAATTCAATCCAATCTATTTTATTTAAAGAACAATCTTGCAAATTGCTGTATTTGTTAGCAAATATTTTTGTTGCTGTTCCCCAGAAGCACTAGAGGAAAGTTGGATGGCATTTCTTTCCAGACTAGATTCTCAGATTCCCTAGTACATTTTACAAGTGATGGCTGCTGGCAATATATTGTGACAATTCCTTGCTGATAAATTACAGACACTTACACATAGAATAGGTGGTGGCATGAAGTGGGGAAAATGACCCATCCAAACTGGGAATCTTTGTCAGTAGAGCAAACTATCATTGCAACTAGGACTTATTTACTCCCACTAATTTGTCCAACAAGCAAAAGGGTTTATTAAGACTCACGGAAAATGGCCACATTTCAGAGTCCTGAAAGATCTACAGCTAAGATTATTTTAAAAGAATAAGTCTGTTTCATAGCCCCAAATTGTTAAGAGAATGTAACGTGTCTGCATGTACAAATACACTTGCAAATAAATCAGACTGAAATTGGTCCATTCTTTGCAGATGCCTTTGACTATTTTGTTTTCAATACATTCTGTTAGTGATACAGGGATCATAAAAGCCTTTTCAAAATTTTAAAAGTAACTTTAAAGCAGGAAATGAGAGACTTCAGTGCAGGTTCAGAAGGCAAGCATTAAACTTGAATTCCTAAAAATATAGCAGACAAGTACTAGCAAACAATTCAATGAAAGAAATCCTGTAACACCAAGGGAAGAGGAGAAAACATATCAAACAGCAACAAAAACAGAGTTTAGTGCCAAAAGCAAATCAGCTGCAGAGACCCTCATAGTCCTCAGCAGGGAAAATCCACACTCTGAAAACCTCAAATGCACCTGCCAAAAATCAGACACCAGATTCCTTTAGCAGAAGATTAAAGCACCTGATAGGTCCCCGCACCTGCTAGATATCTGATACCGAGTATGTCCTTAAAGAACCCCAGGGAAGCCATCTGATCTGAAACCCACCCTCACACCAGGGATTGTGTCGATCAAGCTTCCTTGAATTTATGATTAACTACTGCTGCCTGTTATCGGTATCTATTCCTAAGAACTTGCTCTGTACTCTGATTTCAATTATAGGCCAAATGAGAGAAAGCAGACATCTGCCTGGCTCAACTCAATTATGTTCTTACTATACATATGATCTATGTACATACATGTTTTACTAGGGTATGCAATGTAGCTTGACAGAGCACACACAAGACCACATGTGTTTTGGAAGGCTGACTTGGGTTACTGCAGGAATGAATGTGAACAGTCTCTTGCTATGAGAAGCGAGTTGAATAAAGACAGGAAGGGGACAAGAGGGAAAACAGATTCCCCTCCCTAAAAACTTCTATTGATGTGAGTGGAAGCTTGCCACTGACATCAGCACGAGCAGGATGAAGCCCTAGTTGTTTAGGATGGGAGATGAGAGGGAGTACAATTAGCTAGTGAGCAGACAGCAAAGCTTCCAGGAATGCACTTCCAGCCTAGCACAAAACAAGCTATTTTAGTGCTGGGCAAGAGCCAACTGAATGTATGCAGCAATTCTGCAGATTTGTGAACTCAAAGCTGGAAATGTGGACCCACCCCACAAATGATCCAATGTCCCTCCCACCAGTCTATCAGACATTATACTGCTTTTAATGCTACCCTGTGTCTCGTTTGATAATATCATCAGGGACATGTTAAAAGCAATAGGCTTTTGCAGCTGATCTGTGATTCAGGAAATTACAGGCCTTCAGGGGAGGCAAGAAGCAATGTTGTCACAGCCTGTAGTTTGGAGAACAGCTGGTTCTTATACTAAAGAACTTCACCTGCCTACAAAGCCAGCCAGGGGGCCGCTAATGTCAGGCCACACACTTTCTGCAGCAAGCAATGCAGCTAGATTAAACTGGATACTGTCATCTGAAGTCAGAGACTGCATTGGGGGGGGGGGGGAAACACGCAGGGATGTCACAGGTCCAGCTGAGCACCTCTTTTGGCCACTCACCAGACTGCTATGTGGGGATGCCACCATCGAATCCTGCAGGTGTTTTAAGCCCCTACAGTCTGAACAAAGTCCAGGTACTGCCACTGTCTTAAGGTCTCTAGGTGCACTCTTAGAGTGTGGATCTTCTCTTTGGCACCCTCCCCCCAACAACTGTAATCACATGGCCCCCTGCCCAGCCCTCAGAACCAGTGCTGACCCCTCAGACTATCCCTGTAGCTTAAACGCGCCCTTCCCGTGAACCCCAGTAGTAACTTCATAGAATCTATCAGAATTCCTAAGTTCTACATAGGTTCCCCAAATCATCAAGACAATTCTGCCCAAATGACATTTTTTCTGTTTTGTTCTTTATTAGTCAGGATATTTGTGGGATAACATTCTCTCTTCCTCCAGGTCACCTGCTCCTGATGCCCCAAAATTCTCAAATGCTCATCACTGTAGTATCTAAGAGGTGACAATTCAGTCTGAACTCGTGGAAACACGGATCGTCATACACAGAAATCACGACGTAAGTTGGAAAAAATCATCCAATGGAACAAAGATCCTGGTTTCCAACAAGTGGCCTTGTTAACTAGTAGGAGACAGAGAGACTACCTAAAAGCAGAACTATCACTAGGTCTGGTGTATTTTACAAGTTTCACAGTTTGGGTTTACTGGATCTTTCCCAAAAGAGTCAGCGTCTTCTCAAACATTAGCAACTTCCTAAAAACAATTCCAGTGCAATTTTCATTGCCATCTGACATGAGCCATGCAAGTCCTGCAAGAATCTCATCTTGTTTGCTAGCAAGAATGTAAACTTAGCTGGTGAAATTCCTACAAGTCATAATCCTGGTCTACTCAGTGATCTAAACTACAACCAAAAGCCCATACTGGCTTTGCTTAACAGTGGATGGATAGAACACTTCAGTTTTTTCTTGAAGGGCTGTCATGGTGGTGAAAGGTACGAAATTACAGATTGTGAAGACCGAACTCCCCTACCACTCCCACATCCAAATCCCAACTATTATTAATGGCAAGAAAGCTCGCCAGTACATGGACAGCACTATTTATTCTTGATGCTGGAAAGGATAAAGGGGAGGTTAAGAGCTATGTAATGCTGCAATTCAGCTACAGAAAAAAAAATACTGTTTTGCTTTCCCTGACAATCAAATGGGAGGTTTCCAGTAAATCCTGCTTCACTGCAATTAAGGCTCTTTTAAGGGAAATTCTCAATGCGCCAGTTCACCAAGGAAATTAAATATCAAAAATGTTCTAACTCGTTAATATGGATGAAAATTCACAACCACAGTGAGAGTGGCTGCTCATAATCCTACTTCAAAAGGAAAGATAGAACTTGGTTATGAAATTCTCATTCTACTAGCTGGGAAGGTTGTTCTCTTAGGTTAACAGGCAGGACTTTGAAGATTTACTCAACACATGGTAAATATACCAGCGTTGCCATGCCCTGTGGAATTTAAAGTATTAAACAGTGCACTGTTTATTATGGCCTGCACTTAAGCGTAACATTGTCAGCTTCCTAGTTTACACATTTGTAAGTGCAGTGTACTATATCTTTTGCTTTTATATAATGCTCTTCCCTTCCTGGTTTCACTCTACCTTCTCTTCTATAATAGATCATAGCACATCTTATTCTGCAATTTTCTGTTTGCATTTCTCCTCCCCCCTTTCTGCACCTTATGTTCTCTACCCTCCCCACAACAACTAAATTTTTCCTACAGTAAAGAATTGGAATTGCAGCAGGTATTGCCACTACCCTCCTGAAAAGTCATAAAGACTTTGGAAGTGCTTTTCAAGCAAGTCTTTAGTAGCGAGCAAGGAAACAGACACTGGAGCAGGTAAGGTAATGTCTTTACACAAAAAACATATTTGTGAACCTAAAGAACCAAGTATCAGAGGGGTAGCCATGTTAGTCTGGATCTGTAAAAAGCGACAGAGTCCTGTGGCACCTTATAGACTAACAGAAGTACTGGAGCATAAGCTTTCGTGGGTGAATACCCATTTCGTCAGACGCAAGAACCAAGAACACCAAACTTCATTCTCCACTTTTATGCCACACTAAGGCTAACTGTAACTGACAACTAAGTCTTTTAATTCTATGCCTACATAAGCACAAGATTAGCAGCCCGAAAGACTGTATACGATAAGGTGCTGAGAAGTGACTGTAGGCCTAGCATGGATGCACAGACCACGGCCAGGCCAGACACGTCGTTCAGCACGCAATCAGAGGGGTCAGTGAAAAGCGTTTTGCACTGGGAATGGGGAGACCTGGCTTCTATTCACAGCTCTAGATCACTCCCCCACTCTTCCCCGCCCCCCCCCATGCGACTCAGCTTCCACATCTGTAGAACAGATGCCCACCCTTGTAAAGTGTTCTGAGATCTACAAAAGACTAATCTACAGGTGCTAAATGTAACACAAAGACTGCCCCATGATGACTATTTAACAATTGATATTTTCTCCCCAACCCCGTTTAAACAAAAACATTAGGGTGTTTTAAATTTGTGAATTCTAGATCTGGTTACTATGAACCATCAGTGAAATTTCCTAGACAGGTGACCTGATGTGGTGTGTTATTTCAATATAAAACTGGTGACCACTTAAACTACAAGCATATTTGATCATGGGTTAATCAAGGTAAGTCAAGTCAAAAGCCAGAGTGCGTAGGAAAGTGATTGCAACACTCCTCTTGTCAAACAAGCAGGTCAGAGAAACAGTTTATCCCAAACAGTCACAATGATAAAAGGGCATCATCCCAAAAGTATCTGGCTACAAATGTTACATAACTAGCTAATGTTTCTCCACATTCATTCTCCAATTTCAAAGCCACAGCCAAAGGCAACTGCGTGAGGCCTGAAGGGGGGATCCCCTCTACTCAAAATACTGCTCCAGGGACTGCAATAAAATTGAGTCTGCCTGCAATCACACTAAACCAAGGTGTCAAAACTTATTTGTTTGAGTGGGCTGATTTACATTTTTAATTATAGTCTATGGCTACAAAGTTAGGGCCGTTTATAACCCTTGATCCACAGCAGTGATCTCATGACAAAAGCAGGTATGCACGAAAATCAAAGGTAAAAAAAGACAATTAAGTAGCACTGCACTCTTAGCAGAGAAAGTGTTGTTTAAAGCACTTGCACAACCATCTGTCCCTTGTTTAAGTGGCTGTTTGTGCATGCACAAGTAATAACCACACAAGCAACCAAGAAGGCAGACTTGCATAACTGTAATCAGGAAGTACAGATCTGTGATGCGCTCAGAGTTAATATGTTATTGTTAGGAATAGGAGCATGTTATTGAATTGAATTCACCCCTTTGCTCTATTTCTAGGCCCTTATAATTTCACAAAAATGATACTTTTCTGCCTAAATTGTCATATGCTAGCTCTCAGCCCAAACTGATGCTTATTTTTATATATCACACCTACCTAGGACTCTGTCTTCCCTTATAGATGTTTGAAAGTCATGCAACCTTATACTCACTACTACATGGAGACAACATACAAAGATGCAGAGCTCCAGATATACACATATATGAACATGAGTCCGACATGGCTACAACACTGCATGGAACTCCACACATTTCCAAGCAGCTGATTTATTCCTATGATCAGGAATTCAATTAAACCCAGAGCGTGTATTTATTTGAATGTACATTCTCATATACAAGGAGAGCATTATTTGAATATATGCAATGGTACTACTAAGAAGAGACCAGGAGATGGTGAAGTAATTACCCTAACAAAGTTATCAATGAGATTTTATACTTGTGCAGTCTGAAAATTCAAGATTACGGTTCCCACACTATTGGTAATAGCCACATTACATCTACAAAGGTGAAATAATTGACATTATATACAGCACCACAAAATGCTATATACAGCATATGAACAAGGCCAAATTACAGTTTCTGGGGAAACCATAACTGGATTTCCTGAATGAAGAGTTTAAAGTCTAATTCCTAAGGTCACAGTGACAGTGCTGTGAGAACTTCACGAACTCCTCAGGAGGAGACGGACTCTGATCTGTCTAAAGCACCGTGCATGCTTTTGGTATAGGAAGTGCTCCAGTGGATCAGACCAGGGGTCGATCTAATTCAGCATCCTATCTCTGACAGTGGCCGGAACCAGATGCTTAAGAGAAAACAAGGAACTGTAATGGACAGTTACGTAATGTGTCAGTAGAAGTAGTTTCTTTCTACATCTTGCCAGATACTGTTTGGTTTATGCCCTGAAGGGAGGGGTTGTTATATACAATAGTTTTCAATCCTATCTAATGCAACTGTGGATGCTCTTATCATACATAGTAGCGTTCAAAGGAAAATGAGACTAGTTCTTGGTCTCAATGATACATCGTGACAGTGAGATACACAGGTCATTTATGAGTTGTCTAAAGAGATATACTTCCTTGTATCAGTTTTAAATCTGGTTTCTTTTAATATTATTGAGTGTCTCTTTGTAGTATAAGAAAGAGCAAATGGCATTGTATAAAATGAATACCAGTTATACTCATATGTGAGAACTTTGCCAAGGCCACAACCCACAAAAACCAAACCCTTATGACCTAGAAGCAATTTGTGTGTGAAATTTACCAATACAGGTATAGATTCTTCTTGCCCACTCTTCTAACAACTAAAAAGTGGATACTACATTTTTGCCCCCCTTCTCCTCCCAAAAATTATATCCCTGGGCAAGAAGGATCATGCTAGGCTGAGAAAAGAGCATACAACTTCTTGGGAACAGTCTTCACTGCTTTGTGCGATCCATGGGTTCCCATCAGTTCTGACAAGCACCCTCAGCTGCCCTCAAGTGCAGATAAGGAACCATCCATCCCCTGCAGCCATTGATGCTATCCTTAATGCATCTGAGCACTTCCTGTTTGATGGCACAGAGGGCAGCTGCTTAGCGTGCTCAGACACTCCAACTAGATGCGCTCGCTGGCAGGTCCAAAATGTTAATATATATATATATATATATATATATATATAAATAACACATCATAGCTGGCCACAAATGCACCACACAGCAAGAGATGTGATGGGTACCATGCTGGGAGAAGCAGAAAAAAGTTAGGCAACTTGG